GTCTCACGGTCTCTCCTGCCCGGGCTGGCTTTGAACCGTGATCCTCAGATCTCAGCCTCCTGAGTAGCTAGGATTACAGGTGTGAGCCACCAGCGCCCAGCTTCTGTTAGTATGTTTACCTTGTAAACATTTAGCCACCATTGCTAAATCTAATCATTTACCTGTAGATTCTTGTGAATATATATATATATATGTATATATATATATATATATATATGTATTTTTTTTTGCTGGGGGTGGGGGGAATTCTGGCCCAGGGGCTTGAACTGAGGACCTGGGCATTGTCCTTAAGCTATTTTTTTTTTTTTGGGTCGGGTCGTGGGGCCTGAACTCTGGGCCTGGGCGCTGTCCCTCAGTTCTTCAGTTCAAGGCTAGCGCTCTACCACTTGAGCCATAGCACCACTTACAGCATTTTTCTTTTTGCTTATGTGGTGCTGGGGAATCGAACCCAGGGCCTCAGGCATGCAAGGCAAGCTCTCTACCACTGAGCCACCTTCCCAGCCCCCCTAAGCTTTTTTGTTCAAGGGTAGTGCGCTACCACTTCTGGCTTTTTGAAGTAAGAGTCTCACGGACTCTCCTGCCTGGGCTGGCTTCAAACTGTGATCCTCAGATCTCAGTCTCCTGACTAGCTAGGATTATAGCATAAGCTGCCAGTACCTGCTCTCGTAGATACTGTGTAACACATTCGTCAGTTGTACTTGTTTTTTTTGTATGTTAATATTGGGGGCTTGAACTCAGGGCCAGAATCCTGTTTCTTAACCTTTTCACTCAAGATTGGTACTCTTATCACTTGAGCCACAGCTCTTTTATTTTGGTTGGTCCTGATTCTTGAACTCAGGCCTGGGGCACTGTCCCTGAGCTTTTTGCTCAAAGATATCACTCTACCACTTTTGAGCCACAGCTTCACTTCCATTTTTCTGGTTAAAATTGGAGATAAGAGTCTCATGGCCTTTCCTGCCTGGGCTGGTTTTGAACTGCAATCCTCAGATCTCAGCTTCCTGCAAAGCTAGGATGACAGGCGTGAGCCTCTGGCACTTGGACTCGTTTCTTACTCTCTTGTACTATTTTTTTCATACCTGTTCCCTTGGCCAGGACCCATTAAAGTTCTTAGGGCAGCCGGCTGCCGGTGGCTCATGTCTGTTATCCCAGCTACTCAGGAGGCTGAGATCTGAGGATCAAGATTCAAAGCCAGCCTGGGTAGGAAAACCTGTAAGACTCTTATCTCCAATGAACCACTCAGAAAACTGAAAGTGGCGCTGTGGCTCAAGTGGTAGAGCTGAAGAGCTGAGGGACAGCGCCTAGGCCCAGAGTTCAAGCCCCATGACCAACAACAACAACAACAAAAAGGTTCTTAGGGCAACCACGTGATTCAATTCATGTTTGTGAAGCTCACAGAGTAGAAAGGAGACAGCAGGGTGGAAGGGCGGAGATGCAGGGAGAGAGATCCCGGGAGAGAAGGGAGGCAGATGGCTTCTCTGCTTCGGCAGCAGGTGGGTAGCTGGATCGCAGCTGTGACTATGGCTCCCCTCTCCCCCGTTCCTCTCTGCAGACCGGGGACGTTGCTCCATGGGCCAGTGTGTGTGTGAGCCTGGCTGGACAGGCGCAAGCTGTGACTGTCCCCTTAGTAACGCCACGTGCATTGACAGTAATGGGGTAGGCCTGGGTGCCCACCGCCTGGGACCGAGAGAGCCGGGGGAGGGGTTGGGGGGGAGGATGGGGAGCGGGGAGAGGGATGGGCCGCGGTGGCTCACTGGCACCCCCTCCCTGCCCCAGGGCATCTGTAATGGACGAGGCTACTGTGAGTGTGGCCGCTGCCACTGCAACCAGCAGTCGCTCTACACGGACACCACCTGCGAGATCAACTACTCCGCGGTGAGGCCAGGCTCACCCGGTGCCCGGGTGTGGATGGTCACGGGGATCCCAGGCACAAGACAGGGTGGGAAATCCAGGAGCCCAGGGTCCCGCCATAATCCTAGCCACTCAGCAGGCTGAGATCTAAGGACAGTAGCTCAAAACTAGCCTGGGCAGGGAAGTCCACAAGACTCTTATCTTCAATTAATCACCTAAAAACCAGAAGTGGAACTGTGGCTCGAGTGGTAGAGCGCTAGCCTTCAGCAGCAAAGCTCAGGGACAGTGCCCAGGCCCTGAGTTCAAGCCCCCAAACCAGCAAAAAGAAAAAGAGAGGGTAGGAAAGGGGCTGTGGCTGGCAGGGTGCTGGAAGGCCCGAGGCTGGGGCAATGAGGCCAGCCTGGCACACAGCGCCCACCTATCTACTCCTTCTCTCCTTCCCAGATCCGCCTGGGCCTCTGCGAGGATCTGCGCTCCTGCGTACAGTGCCAGGCCTGGGGCACTGGGGAGAAGAAGGGGCGCACATGCCAGGAGTGTAGCTTCAAGGTCAAGATGGTAGATGAGCTTAAGAAAGGTAGGCCCAGGGGCTGCGAGTGTGGCTTAGTGCTTAGAGTGCTTGCCTGACACAGAAAAAGCCAGAAGTGGCACTGTGGCTCAAGTGGTAGAGCACTTGCCTTGAGCTGAAAAAGAAGCTCAGGGACAGCGCCCAGGCCCTGAATTCAAGCCCCAGAACCAGCATTAAAAAAAAAAATGGCAGCCGGGCGCTGGTGGCTCACGCCTGTAATCCTAGCTACTCAGGAGGCTGAGATCTGAGGATCGCGGTTCAAAGCCAGCCCGGGCAGGAAAGACCGTGAGACTCCTATCTCCAATAAACCACCAGAAAACCGGAAGTGGCGCTGTAGCTCAAGTGGTAGAGCGCTCGCCTTGAGCTGAAGAGCTGAGGGACAGCGCCCAGGCCCAGAGTTCAAGCCCCACAACCGACCAAAAAAAAAAAAAAAAGAAAAAAAAATGGCACAAGAGGAAGGAACCAAATGCGGGCAGTGGGCACCCAGTCCAGCTCAGGACACAGCTGGGCAGATCAGGAGCCTGGAGAGGAGGCATGGCATGGGCAGCATCCTGACCACAGGAGCAGTCTGTGGGGTGCTTCGGGGTGCAGGGATGGAGTCGGGGTGCCCGGCTGACCGTCTGTGGTACAGCAGAGGAGGTGGTGGAGTACTGCTCGTTCCGAGATGAGGATGATGACTGCACGTACAGCTACACGGTGGAAGGCGACGGGAGCCCAGGCCCCAACAGCACGGTCCTGGTCCACAGGAAGAAGGGTGAGCAAGCGGGCGGGCGGCGCGGGTGTGTGGGGAGGGGCGCGTGAGGAGGGGCACGGTGGGCCCTCAGGGTGGGGGTGAGCACCGCCTCCCTCCTCTGTCGCCTCCCAGACTGTCCCCCTGGCTTCTTCTGGGGCCTCATCCTCCCTCTCATCTTGCTCCTGCCGCTCTTGGCACTGCTGCTGCTGCTCTGCTGGAAGTACTGTGCCTGCTGCAAGGTGAGCCCCCCAGGGCCCTCCCCACGGCTCCCCCCCTGCCTCCCCCAAAGGCCTCCCCCCTCCCCCCCAGAGCCAGACTGGTTGGGTCCTGCCTGGGCTCAGCTGTGTGACCTTGAACAAGTTACTTCATCTTTCTGTGCCTTAGCTGACTCTTCTTTACACCCATCACCAGAAAATGGTGTGGGACCAGGCGCCGGTGGCCCTCGCCTGAAATCTCAGTTTAGGAGACTCTTATCTCCAATTAATGGGGTGGGGGAGGGGGGGAAAGCCAGGTGCTGGCTATAATCCGAGCTACTCAGATGCTTGAGATCTGAGAATCACGGTTCAAAGCCAGCCCTGGCAGACAAATCCAGGAGACTCTTGTCTCCAAATAATCAGTGAAAAAAAAAGACAGAAGTGGAGATGTGGTTCCAATGGTAGAATAACAGCCTTGAGTCAAAAAGCTAAGGGACAGCACCCAGGCTCTGAGTTCAAGATGAGAGAGAGAGAGAGAGAGACGCTTATGCCTGTAATCTCAGCACTACTTGTGAGACTGAGATCTGAGGATCATGGTTCAGCCTGGGCAAGAAAACCTTGAGACTGTGATCTCCAATAACCACCAGAAAACTGGAAGTGGAACTATGGCTCAAAGTATTAGAGCACTAGCCTTGATCACAAAAGCTCAGGGACAGTGGCCAGGCCCTGAGTTCAACAACAAGTTTATTTTCTGCAGGTCTTTTCAGAGCCTTTGAGCTAGTGATTTGTATACTCTGCAAGAGGGCTAGCGGCCGCCCGGGTGGCTGTCCTCGCCCTCAGCCTCTCCCTACTCTTGTCTCCTAGGCCTGCCTGGCACTTCTCCCTTGCTGTAACCGAGGTAGGTCTGGGCCTTCAAGTGGAGCTTGGATGATGGCTCTGGGTCCGGGCTGAGATGGAGTGGCCAGGCTCTGGGCACCCATGGCTGATGGATGGGTGTGGCCGGGCGGGTCTAGGGCCGGGCCTGGCTGAGCATCGTTTCCTCACAGGCCACATGGTGGGCTTTAAGGAAGACCACTACATGCTGCGGGAGAACCTCATGGCCTCAGACCACCTGGACACGCCCATGCTGCGCAGCGGGAACCTGAAGGGGCGGGACACAGTCCGCTGGAAGATCACCAACAACGTGCAGCGGCCTGGCTTTGCCACGCACGCCGCCAGCTCCAACCCCGCAGAGCTGGGTGAGGGGGGGGGGAAGCAGTGGTCCCTGGTGCTGGAAACGGTGGCTGCAGAGCCTGCCCACTGGTGCCCGCCATGCCTGGTGCTGATGACTCTCCTGCTTATTCCCAGTGCCCTACGGACTGTCCCTGCGCCTCACTCGCCTCTGCACAGAGAACCTGATGAAGCCTGGCACCCGAGAGTGTGACCAGCTGCGCCGGGAGGTGGAGGAGAATGTAAGGACCCAGAGGAACAGCTGAGCAGGGACTTGGGCCTGGGGGCAGTGGCAGCCAGGTTGGAGGGCAGAGGCCAGCAGCCACAGAACCCACACTGTTCTAGGCTGGGAAGTGGGGCTTTTTGGATCAGTGCCTGGCATATCATCCTGGGACGTAATAGAGTCGGGCTCTCGGGGAATGCCCCCATGTGCCCTGAGGGACCCTCTGGGTAGAGCCCATCTGGTGCCTGGCTCCCAGGCCCAGCCTCATGACCCACCCTTGCCTGGCAGCTGAATGAAGTGTACAGGCAAGTTTCAGGCGCACAAAAGCTCCAGCAGACCAAGTTCCGGTGAGTCCTGGGGTGCACTGGGGAAGGGAGGGGGCAGGGGGTGCAGCCGAGTTCTACGAAAGCCTTGCCAGAGCCAGGCCTGGCAGCCAGGATCCCCAGGCCGGGGGTGGGGGTAGGGGGTGGGGAGCAGGTGTTCAAACCCCTAGGCAGAGCATGTCTCTACCCCAGGGCTTCTCTGGCTCATTTGTGCCCTTTGTCCCCACAGGCAGCAGCCAAATGCCGGAAAAAAGTGAGTTGAAGGGCCTGGGAACATGGCCTAGTGGTAGAGTGCTTACCTAACATGCACGAAGCCCCAGGTTCGATTCCTCTGTACCACCTACACAGAAAAAGCCAAAAGTGGCGCTGTGGCTCAAGTGGTAGAGTGCTCGCCTTGAGTTGAAGAGCTCAGGGACAGTGCCTAGGCCCTGAGTTCAAGCCCCACGACTGACAAAAAAAAAAGTAGTGAGGTGAAGATACCCTGGTGGCATGGGCCAGCTCCTGCCACTAACCTATCTGTCCCCTGCAGCGCCTACATCTCGCGGTGGGGGGGGGGGAATGTGTGTGTCTTTCTCCCTTCCTTTTCCAGACCATTGCTTTTTCTATTTTTTCCAGACCGTTGCTTTTTCTATTTTTTTCCTTTTGTGCCAGGACTGGGACTTGAACTCAGGATCTTGTAATTTTCCTGAGCTTTTCTTTTTTTTTTTTTTGCTCAAGACTGATTGATCTATACCACTTGAGCCACACTTCTACATACAGCTTCTTACTGGTTAATGGAAGACAAGGTTTCTCAAGCCTGTAATCCTAGCTACTCAAGAGGCTGAGATCTGAGGATCCAGGTTCAAAGCTAGCCCGGGCAGAACAGTCCAAGTGAGACTCTTAACTCCAATTAACCACCAAAAAAAAACCAGAAGTAGGACTATGGCTCAAAGTGGTAGAGCACTAGCCTTGAACACAAAAGCTCAGGGACAGCGCCCAGGCCCTGAGTCCAAGCTCCATGACTGGCAAAAAAAAAAAAAGTTTCTCAAATGTGTCTGCCTGTGCTGGCTTCAAACTGTGATCCTCAGATCTCAGCCTCCTGAGTAGCTAGGATTACGTGTGACCTACCAGTGCGAAGCCCTCACTCTGAGAGACAGCAGACCACACAGCTATTTGCCTACTTCCCTATGGGTCTTGGCCCTTCAGAGGGTGCAGGAGACAGGGACCTCCATGCAGAGACAGAGAAATCAAAATAACAGTATGTGGCCGTCAGGAAGCAGCGCTCTGCCAGCTCTCTGCATGCTCACAATGGGCCTGGTTACCTTAGCCCCCCTCTCAGCCGTCTGTTCTAAAGGGGCCATCAGTATTCCAGTTTTCAGAGAAGGAAACTGAATCAGAGAGGTTAAGTAGCTTGCTTGACCATAAGCTTGCCTATCAGGACCCAGCGCAAGGATTTGAACCAGCAGGGTTCAAGAAGGTACAGCAGGGGCTGGGAAGGTGGCTCAGTGGTAGAGTGCTTGCCTTGCATGCATGAGGCCCTGGGTTCGATTCCTCAGCACCACATAAACAAAAAGAAAAAAGCCGGAAGTGGCGCTGTGGCTCAAGTGGTAGAGCGCTAGCCTTGAGCTGAAGAGCTGAGGGACAGCGCCCAGGCCCAGAGTTCAGGCCTCATGACCGGACCCCCCCCCAAAAAAAGAAGGTACAGCAGCGGCTTGGCTCTGGCTGCCATATGAGGGAGGAGGACCCTGCGTGGACCTCTGCACTGCCTGGCTACTAAGACCTGCCCTTCGTGCTGCCTCTAGAATTGTGTTTGCGTGCACGCGCGCATGGGGCTTGAACTCAGGGTTCAAGCGCCATCTCTTAGCTTTTTCACTTAAGGCTGGCACTCAAGTGAGCCACACCTCCACTTTCAGCCTTTTGATGGTTAATTGGAGATAAGAATCTCATGGAAGCCAGGCCCTGGTGGCTCACGCCTGTCATCCTAGCTACTCAGGAGGCTGAGATCTGAGGATCATGGTTCAAAGCCAGCCCAGGCAGGAAAGTCTGTGAGACTCTTATCTCCAATGAACCACTGGAAAACTGGAAGTGGCGCTGTGGTTCAAGTGGTAGAGTGCTTGCCTTGAGCTGAAGAGCTGAGGGACAGTGCCCAGGCCCTGAGTTCAAGCCCCACGACCAACAACAACAACAAAAATCTCACAGGCTTTCCTGCGCAGGCTGACTTTGAATGGCGATCCTCAGTCTCTTCTGCTCAGCTTCCTGAGTAGCTAAGATCACAGGCATGAGCCACTGATGCCTGGCTCTGCTGTCTTCTATCCTGTGGCCTGATGTAGAGAGGACAGGAAGTGCCAGGCTCACACTACCACTCACTGACTCCCTCCCCCTCGATCCAGGCAAGACCACACCATTGTGGACACGGTCCTGATGGCTCCTCGCTCAGCCAAGCAAACCCTGCTGAAACTGACAGAGAAGCAGGTGGAGCAGCGAGCCTTCCACGAGCTCAAGGTGGCCCCCGGCTACTACACCCTCACCGCAGAGCAAGGTAGGCCGGCAGGCGCTCAGTGCCGCTCCCTCTCCCCTCCCACTGAGGTGACACCCCCCTCCACACCTGACCCCCCTCTCCACAGACGCCCGGGGCATGGTGGAGTTCCAGGAGGGGGTGGAGCTGGTGGACGTGCGGGTGCCCCTCTTCATCCGGCCTGAGGATGACGATGAGAAGCAGCTGCTGGTGGAGGCCATCGATGTCCCCGTGGGCACGGCCACCCTCGGTCGCCGCCTGGTAAACATCACCATCATCAAGGAGCAAGGTTGGTCTGCCCCTGCTGTATATCCTCCTAGAGGCAGAACAGGGCCGGGAGGCATGAGCTAGTCTGGAACCCATGCAGGCCTTGCTCCAAGTTTGGTCAGTGCACGAACCATGGCTTCCATGATGATGATAATGGTGCTCATCCTCCCAAGATCCACAGGGCCCTAGACACTCCCTGCCTGCTGTGGGGAGGGCATGGAGATGAGAAGGGACTGGGAACAGCGCCCCCTAATGGGCACATGGGTCCCTGCAGCCAGCGGAGTGGTATCCTTTGAGCGACCCGAGTACTCGGTCAGCCGCGGAGAGCAGGTGGCCCGCATCCCCGTCACCCGGCGCATCCTGGACAACGGCAAATCCCAGGTGTCCTACCGCACCCAGGACAGCACGGCTCAGGGGAACCGGGTAAGCTTCTCCCTGCTCCAAAGACACAGCGCAGCTCCAGCGGGCCCGGGCTAGGTTCCTAGGCCTGAGCAGGAGGACATGGCAGCTACTGGAGTCCCTGGTAACCAACCCCCAAAGCTGGCTTCCCCCAAAGACATCCTATTGAGCTTGCCACCCTCCGCAGGGGCGCCTCACTCCCTCCAAGTGAGGGTAGCAGCTGCCCAAGGCCTCACTACTGCTAGGAAGCAGCTTCTTCCTAGATGGGCTGGTGACCTGTCCAGATCATTCCTGAGCTCTTCAGCTCAAGGGGAGCGCTTTAGCTCCTGAGTCACAGCACCACTTCCGGTTTTCTGATGGTTCATTAGAGATAAGAGTCTCCTGGGCGTTTCTGCCCAGGGCAGGCTTTTGAACTTTGATCCTCAGATCTCAGCCTCCTGAGTTGCTAGACCGACAGGCATGAGCCACTGGTGCCCAGTTCTGTTTTTTGGGCTAGTACCGGGGTTTTTTGTTTGTTTGTTTTTGGTTTTTGTCGGTCATGAGCCACAGCGCCACTTCTGGCTTTTCCTGCTTATGTGGTGCTGAGGAATCAAACCCAGGGCCTCATGCATGCAAGGCAAGCACTCTACCACTGAGCTACCTTCCCAGCCCTAGTACTGGGGTTTGAACCCAGGGCTTCATGCTTGATCAGCCTGCTTGCTCATCTGGCACACCTCCAGCCCTGCCTTTTGCTTGCTGTCTTGGAAATGGAGTATCATGGACTTTTCTGGCTAGGCTGACTTTGCATTATGATCCTCCAGAACTTAGCCTCTGAAGTAGCTGAGTGTACAGATGTGGTGAGCCACTGGACCCAGGCTGTTCTCATCTTTAATTCTGAATTTATTATCAATATTTGAAAGTTTAAGCCAAAAATTATCCCAGAGCTGGACACATGGCTCAGGCAGTAGAACACATATCTAACTAGCCAAGCACAGCAATCCCCTCAAATCTCCACCCCCAAAAAATTGTTAAATTAATAAAATCTATGCCAGGTGCTTGTGGCTCAAGCCTGTAATCCTAGCTACTCAGGAGGCTGAGATCTGAGGATCACGGTTCAAAGCCAGCCCAGGCAGGGAAGTCTGTGAGACTCTTGTCTCCAATTAACCACCAGAAAACTGGAAGTGGCACTGTGGCTCAAGTGGTAGAGCACTCGCCTTGAGCAGAAGAGCTGAGGGACAGCGCCCAGGCCCAGAGTTCAGCTCCCATGACCAAAGAATAAATAAAGTGTAGTCCACTGGCCCCACCAATCCATTCAAGAAACAGGGAATATGTACCTGGCAGGCCCAGGCAGCCCAGCCACGCCCTTGCTTTCTTTACTTTCTTCCATTTGATAGGAGCCATTCACCTCCCTACTGCAATACTCCCATAAAATTCCCAAGAAGAGGGGGCTGGGAAGGTGGCTCAGTGGTAGAGTGCTTGCCTCATATGCATGAGGCCCTGGGTTGGATTCCTCAACAACATATAAGCAGAAAAAAACTGGAAGTGGCGCAGTGGCTCTAGTGGTAGAGCGCTAGCCTTGAGCAGAAGAGCTGAGGGACAGCGCCCAGGCCCAGAGTTCAGCTCCCATGAGTGACCAAAAAAAAAAAAAAAAGAAAAGAAAATACCAAGAAGTTTCTATCTTTATAAATCTCCTGCCTATACTATATTATACAAAAAAAAACTGGCTTTCTTGTTATTCTTGTATAAAGATGCCTAGGTAGTTGACAGTTCAAGAAAAAATTTCTAGCCAGTCACCAGTGGCTCATACCTGTAATCCTAACTACTCAGGAGGCTGAGATCTGAGGATCTGTTCCAAGCCAGCCTAGGTAGGAAAGTCCGTTTAACAATGAAAAAGCCAGAAATGGAGTTGTGGCTGGAGTGGTAGAGGACCAGCTTTGAGCAAAAAAGCTAAGGGAGTCAGGCGCAGTGGCACACACCTATAATCCCAGCTACTCAGAAGGCTGAGCTGGGAGGATTGCTGGAGTCCAGGAGCTCTGAGCTGAAGGAGGTTACCATATTGATACCAAACTTGGTGCAGACACCTGATCAGCATAGCACACTTCAGCTCAGAGCTCCTGGACTCAAGGGAGCCTCCTGAGTAGCTAGGATTACAGGCATGAGCCACCAGCACCCTGCTTTGGCTTAGCTTTTTTACTGCTGACTGACACTCTACCACTTGAACCACGTCTCTACATCTGACTTTTTGGTGGTTAGTTGAAGACTGGCCGACTTTTCTGCTTAGACTGGCTTCACATCTCAATCCCTAGACCTCAGGCTCCTCAGTCCCTAGTGTTACAGGCATGAGCCTCTAGCACCACCAGCTGATACTGAATTCTTGACATGTCCGTATCAGCTTCTTTCTCTCTCTCTGTTGTGGGGCTTCAACTAAGAAACTAAGCTCTGCCCTAGAGCTCTTTTTGCTCAAGGGTAGTGCTCTACCACTTTAAGCCACAGCTCCACTTCCAGTTTGAGTGGTTAACTGAAGATATGTGTCTCATGGGGACTTTTCTGCCCAGACTGGCTTCAAACTGAGATGCTCAGATCTCAGCCTCCTCAGTAGCTAGGATTACAGGTGTGAGCCACCAGAAACCGGCCACATCTGCTTCTTCCGTTTTCCTCCACTTGTAGACTTTCCTATCTGCTCTGGGCTACCTCTCACAACCGGCCTAACTACCCACACCAGAAAATGAAATATTAGTTTGACGCGCCACCTAGTGGTATAAAATGGGAAGGCCTCTTTCCTCCCAGTTGGAACACACACACACAGACACACACACACACACACACGTACGTGCGCACGCGCAAGCTCCTGAGCATTGAGAAAATAAATCTGGCATTGGTAAAAATGCCCTACTCAGCAAGGTCCAAGTAGGATCTCAGATTCCAGAGCCTCAACCTGCTTCTCTTCCCCCATGGGACCTGCACATCCAGGGCTTCTGCCAGCCCGTGTCTCTGTATGCTAGGTCCAAATCCCAGCTCTTGCACGACTTCCTGTCTGAACCTTGGCAAGTTCCTTAACCCTGTACAGGGCTCCATTTTCTTGTCTGTAAAATCTCTGCCTCCCACTGCCGGAGGGTTATGCGAGCTAATATTTATTTTTTTTTTTTTTGAGTCCGGTCGTGGGGCCTGAACTCTGGGCCTGGGCACTATCCCTCAGCTCTTCAGCTCAAGGCTAGCACTCTACCGCTTGAGCCACAGCACCACTTCTGGCTTTTTTCTTTTTGCTTATGTGGTACTGAGGAATCGAACCCAGGGCCTCATGCATGCAAGGCAAGCGCTCTACCACTGAGCTACCTTCCCAGCCCCGAGCTAATATTTAAAGTGCTGTCAGAGGTGCTGCGTAAACAGGAGCCATTTCATGTCCACACTTGACAGGGAAGGGTGTGGCCATGATCCTGAATCCCCACCCCCAGCCCCAAAGGCTCTAATTTTGTTGTTTTCGAGTCAGTGTCTTACTAAGTAGACACTGTCTAGGCTTGCTTGGAACCTACTTTGTAGTTCATGCTGGTCTCAAACTCACTATCCACCTGCCCCAGCCTCCCACTTGCTAGGATTACAGGCTTGTGCTACCAGGCCTGGCTGTAATGTCTGAACTGCCTCTTCCTGCAGTTCTGGTCTAACCTCGATGTTCCCACTCCCAGGACTATGTCCCTATGGAGGGTGAGCTGCTCTTCCACCCCGGGGAGACCTGGAAGGAGCTTCAGGTGAAGCTCTTGGAGCTGCAGGAAGTCGACTCTCTCCTGCGAGGCCGCCAGATCCGCCAGTTCCACATCCAGCTCAGCAACCCCAAATTTGGAGCCCGCCTGGGCCAACCCCACGTAGCCACTGTCATCATTGGAGAGAGAGGTGGGCAGAGTCTGGGGTTGGCACAAGCAAGTGGAGAGGGAGGGAGGGAGGCTGGGGAACCTCTCAGGCAGGACTGCCAGATTCAGCCAGCACAAACATGAGGCCAGGGGCACCCTATTTAATGGTACCTTCACGTACACAGTGCAAATTTCTTGGGTTTTTGGTGTTTTGTTTTGGTCAATCATAAGGCTTGAACTCAGGGCCTGGGTGCCCTCTCTGAGGCCTTTTGCTCAAGGCTAGCATTCCACTACTTTGAACAACTCCACTTCTGGTTTCCTGGTGGTTAGAGACAAGTCTCACAGACTTTCCTGCCTGGGATGGCTTTGAACTGTGATCCTTAGATCTCAGCCTCCTGAGTAGCTAGGATTAAAGATGGGAGCCACCAGTGCCTGGCCTTTTTAATTTTGTTGTTGTTGGTGGTAGTCATGCGGCTTGAACTCAAGGCTGGGGCTAGCACTCTCCCACTTGAGTCACAGCACTACTTGGGCCTTTTCTGCTTATGTGGTGCTGAGGAATGGAACCCAGGGCCTCATGCATGGGAGGCAAGATCTGCCGCTGAGCCACCTTCCCAACCTTTAACTAATTTTTTACAGAACTGGGCACCAGTGGCCCACACCTGTAATCCTAGCTACTTAGGCTGAGATCTGAGGATCATGGTTCAAAGCCAGCCCAGGCAGGAGTCTATGAGACTCTTATCTCCAATGAACCAGCAGAAAACCAGAAGTGGCGCTGTGGCTCAAATGGTAGAGCACTAGCCTTGAACACAAAAGTTCAGAGACAGTGCCCAGGCCCAGAGTTTAAGCCCCATGACCAAAAAAAAAAGAATAAGTATGGCCAGAACATTCCTCTTGGCTGCTAAGGGTGGGCAGATTCCCTCCCCCTCGGCCAGCCCCCCCTCCATCCCCCACCTCCACTGAAGCGTGCTGTGAGGCCCTCAGTGGCTCCAGCCTTCCCAGGAGGCAGGTGAGAAAGACCTGAGTGGGGGAAGCCTGGGTGTTGAACTGAGTCTGGTGCCCCCTGGTGGTGAGGAGGTCTGAGCCAGCCGACCAGCTCTACCTTGATCCATAGATGAACTGGACCGCAACTTCATAAGTCAGACGCTGTCGTCACTGCCGCCCTCTGGAGGTGACCCGGGCGCTCCCCAGAATCCCAACGCCAAGGCCGCCGGGTCCAGGAAGATCCATTTCAACTGGCTGCCCCCTCCTGGCAAGCCTTTGGGGTACCGGGTAAGGAAGGAGGCCATGGGGATGTGCATACTCAATACCAGCAGGCCCAAGCACCAATGGTCAGAAGGAACCCCACCTGTACCCCCAGGAAGAACCCACTCCTGAGCCTTTCAGGAATTTCCCTGTATTACCCCAGCCCATGTGCAAACCCCAAGGGGTCAGTGGCTTTGGTGCTTGCCTCTTCCTGCTGACCAGCCCCCTCCCCTCTGAACAGGTGAAGTACTGGATCCAGGGTGACCCCGAGTCAGAAGCCCACCTGATCGACAGCAAGGTGCCCTCGGTGGAGCTCACCAACTTGTACCCCTACTGCGACTATGAGATGAGGGTGTGTGCTTACGGGTCTCAGGGTGAGGGGCCCTACAGCACCCTGGTGTCCTGCCGCACCCACCAGGAAGGTGAGGCCTCGCGTCCCCGCCCTCCACCATCTCCCCCTGCTGCCAGCACCCCACCCCCGCTGCCTCTGACAGGACTCTTCCCACCCCTCCCCCAGTGCCCAGCGAGCCGGGGCGTCTGGCCTTCAACGTGGTGTCTTCCACGGTGACCCAGCTCAGCTGGGCCGAGCCTGCTGAGACCAATGGCGACATCACAGCCTACGAGGTCTGCTATGGCCTGGTCAACGAGGACAACCGTAAGGACTGGCGGGCCCCTTCCTGGCCACCCTGCCAACACCACAGAGGAAGGGAGGGACACTGAGGCACAGGGAGGCGTGGGGCTTCAGGTTGTTCCTGAGTTCTTTGATCCAGTCAGTGGGCAAGCGAAAGGCATCGTGGAAGTTTTTTTGGTGGGTCTTTATCATGGCATCATTATTATTATTATTGTTATCAGTCCTGGGGCTTGAACTAAGGGCCTGGGCACTGTCCCTGAACCTATTTGTGCTCAAGGCTAGTGCACAAATTTGAGTGAGACAGCACCACTTCTGGCTTTTTCTGGGTAGTTTATTGGAGATAAGAGTCTCTCAGACTTTTCTGAGAGGCTGGCTTTGAACCGCCATCCTCAGATCCCAACCTCTTGTGTGGCTAGGATTACAGGTGTGAGCCACCAACTCCCAGCATAGGTGTTTTTTTGTTTTTTTGGTTGGTTATGGGGCTTGAACTCTAGACCTGGGTGCTGTCCCTGAGCTCTTCAGCTCAAGGCTAGCACTCTACTACAGCACCATTTCTGGCTTTTTCTGTGTATGTGGTGCTGAGGAATCGAACCCAGGGCCTCATGCATGCGAGGCAAGCACTCTACCACTGAGCCACTGTCCCAGCCCCACATAGGTGCTCAGATCTCAATGCACTCCATGTCTGTAGCTCCCTCAGAAGTCACTGAGAAGGCTAGGAATGGGGCTTAGTGGTAGAGTGCTCGCCTAGCACCCATGAAGCCCTGGGTCCGATTCCTCAGTACCACATAGAAAAAGCCTGAAGTGTGGCTCAAGTGGTAAAGTGCTAGCCTTGAGCAAAAGAAGCTCAGGGACAGCGCCCAGGCCCTGAGTTCAAGCTCCAGGACTGGGGGGAGAAAAAAAAAAGTCACTGAGAATTCCCAGGCCTCTTGCCCTCCACTGCCCCAAAGCTGTCACACTTTCTCGCCCTGCAGAGGGCACAGGGCAGGGAGTTATCCTGACCGCAGCCTTGCCTCCTGCGTGAGCTCGTGTAGGGGCACCTTGCAGGGAAGACCATTGGCCCGTCGGTAGAATCGTCATCAGAGCCATTGAGTCTCCTGCTGGTTCTCCATTCACTCAGCTCCCCCCACTGGCTAGCTGGTGACACCGCCCAAGTCAGGCACTCCCAGGTTCTAAGAGCTTGGCTGATGGCAGAACACCTCAGCAGCGCCACGCGCCACCTCAGTCCTCGCCATCCTGAAGCACAGCGCGGTCAGGGCTGGGGCGAGGCAGGAACCCGAGCAACACCCCAAAGTGCTCTCCTTCGTGCCTCAGGACCCATAGGGCCCATGAAGAAGGTGCTGGTGGACAACCCCAAGAAACGGATGCTGCTCATTGAGAACTTGCGAGAATCTCAGCCATACCGCTACACGGTGAAGGCGCGCAACGGGGCAGGCTGGGGGCCCGAGCGGGAGGCCATCATCAACCTGGCCACTCAGCCCAAGAGGCCCATGTCCAGTGAGTGGCAGGCAGGCGAGGGGTGGGGTGGGGTGGGCCAGGGGACAGGAGGCCACAGCTGGAGCCCCCTGGTTTACCTCCTCCCACCCTGCAGTCCCCATCATCCCAGACATCCCCATCGTGGACGCCCAGGGCGGGGAAGACTACGAGAACTACCTCATGTACAGCGACGATGTGCTGCGCTCCCCAGCCAGCAGCCAGAGGCCCAGCGTCTCCGATGACACTGGTGAGTGAGACGCAGAGAAGGCCAGGGTCCCGGTACAGAGTGGCATTATCCCTGGTGTCCAGACACAGCCAAGGGGGCCACCAACTAGCCGCGTTCCCTCTCAGCCCCAAACATCCACAGCCCTGAAGGTACAAAGGGGACAGAGCTGCTGGGGGCACTTTGTACCACGTGCACACCTGCACAGACATAGGGACAGTCAAACACCTGCCCGGAGGGCTGAAGACCATCAGACCAGCCCATATCTGTGTGGGTTCGTGCACACGGGACTATAGCTTTGTAACCTAGGGTTCACAGCAGTCCCTGATATCCAGCTGATTTCTAGCGGCCAGCCTATGTGAGAGACCCCTAAGACAGAGCCTTGAGCAGCAGTGGCAGGGCCCGAGGGAACGGAAGTGGGGGCCCCATGCTCCATTGGCTGTTCTCCCTTGATTCCGGGTGTGTGGTGAGACTCCCGGATGCACACTTCTTGCTCCGACTCCACTGTGAGACTCTGGATGAGTCACCCACATCTTTCCAGTTTTCATTTTTCAGTACTGGGGCTTGAACTTCAGGGCCTGGGGCCTGTCCCTCAGCTCTAGAGCTCAAGGCGAGTGCTCTACTCCTTGAGCCACAGCACCACTTCCTTTTTCTGGTGGTTTACTGGAGATCAGAGTCTCCTGGACTTTCCTGCCTGGCTGGCTTTGAACCGGGGATCCTGAGATCTTAGCCTCCTGAGTAGCTAGGATGATAGGCGTGAGCCACCGGCGCCCGGCTTGGCTCAGTGTTCTGGTCTGTATATCAGGCTGCCTGTTACCCAATGCCCTGAGTAAGAAGTCCTCCGCTGCCCAGGATTTCCCCACACAGCGAGGTCCCCTGGCTATGTTGGGATAGGGTCATTCAGCTGGGCTGCTGCTGGTCATGTCCTGGGCCTGCTGGGGCTCCTCCTGTCCCCAGCGAGCAGCGACACCACGCCAACAGACCCAGCCTTGCGCCAGGCCTGGCCGTGTCCACCCCGCCCGCCCCGGCCGTGCCAATGCGGCCCTTCGTTGTTCCTAAGGCGGCGGCGGCAGCGGCTGGAAGCTGGAGCCCCTGCCGGGGGAGGAGCTGGACCTGCGGCGCGTCACGTGGCGGCTGCCCCCGGAGCTCATCCCGCGCCTGTCGGCCAGCAGCGGGCGCTCGGACGACGAAGGCGCCACGGGCAGCAGGGACCCTGAGGGCGGAGGGGGGCGCTGCACGACGCCCAGGCCTCCCGGAGGTGACCGCCTGCCCGGGGGGCTGTGGCCTCGGAGCCCGGGGCGGGGGCTCCCCGCACAGCCTCTGCCCGCTGCCGCCAGGATACTTAGGGCTCTCACATCCACGAGGATCCCAGTGCCCCTGGGACTGGGGCACACGCCCTAGGCCAGCTCTGGGCCCCGGGGTCCAACACACAGACCCCTCTGGGGACACGGGCTTCGGCCTGGTAGTCAAGAGATCGTTTTCTACTCTAAGGGCAGGTGACCCCAGGACCGCAACAGCCCCCGAGGCTCCGGGTCCAAGAAGGCTGAGCTGACCAGTCCCTGTCCCCCTAGAGCACCTGGTGAACGGCCGGATGGACTTCGCCTTCCCTGGCAGTGCCAACTCCCTGCACAGGATGACGGCAGCCAACGCCGCCTACGGCACCCACCTGAGTCCACACCTGTCTCACCGTATGCTGAGCACATCCTCCACCCTCACCCGAGACTACCACTCGCTGACCCGCACTGAACACTCGGCCACGCTGCCCCGGGACTACTCCACACTCACCTCCCTGTCCTCCCAGGGTGAGTGGCCCTGGCCGAGCCTTCCCAGGCCAGACTTCCCAGCTCCTCCAGGCCTCCACTGCCTACCCTCAAGGGCATGCGTGTGGATGCACACGTGTGAGCACACCTGCCACCTCTGAATCTTGTTTTGTCCCGCCCTAGGCCTCCCTCCCATCTGGGAAGAAGGGAGGAGCAGGCTCCCGCTGTCCTGGGCGCTGGGGTCCTGGAGTCGAGCTCAGAGGAAGGGGCTCTCCCCCTCCAGGGGCTCCCAAGACTCTATAATCCTGGCTGGGCAGTCAGCAGTGCCCTCCTGGCACCCAGGTAGTACAGGAACGGCCCTCCTGCCCGCATGGCTGCCCTCTCCATCTGCCACTGGACCACCATCACAGTCCCATCATGCCTGGGCCTCTTTCCATTTGCGGATGCCGCCCCACCCACAGCGCTAACCACTGCGCATCACTCTCATCTGTGCTAAAGCCTAACCACAGCTGCCCTTCCGAGGTGCACACAGGACTAGGGCTAGGCGAGGGGCCAGGCCAGCCGTTGATGGGGTGGGCTGGCAGGCAGACTCAGGGCTCACTCCCTTGGCACAGGCCAGGGCTACACCATCTCTGAAGCTGTGTGGGAGGTGCTGGGTGGCCCGAATAGAAGGTTGCAAGGTAAATGAACTGCCCAGATGGTCGGTGTAGGCGAGCCAAGTGAGCAAGGCTAGGTAAGCTGTGAATCTACCCCGGGACCTCAGCCCATCTCTTGGACTTACTAAGGCTCTTGTTTTCCAGACTCTAGGGCAGCCGCGGTGGGCGGAGCAGCCGCGGTGGGCGGAGCAGCCGCGGTGGGCGTGCCCGACACACCCACACGCTTGGTGTTCTCAGCCCTGGGGCCGACATCTCTGAAAGTGAGCTGGCAGGAGCCCCAGAGCGAGCGCATGCTGCTGGGCTACAGCGTGGAGTACCAGCTGCTGAACGGCGGTGAGGCCTGGCTGCCCACAACGCCAATGCCACTTGTGCCACCGGGGCTCCCCAGATGGCCAGCAATTCACCCAACCCCACCTAACCTGAGGTTCCACCCCACAGACCCCAGCTCCTCTCACTGCCTTCTTTCTTCCTGGGCCTTTCTTGGTCACTTCCTGTGCTAGGTTTAGCCTAACAAGGCCTCACATACCCCAGGCCTCTGCTAGCCGTTGTGGGAACTGGGGAATGGTGTCTCTCTGGGCAGACACACATGAAGCAGTGTCACCTGGGCACCTGGCCAGGGCACAGATTTGACCAGAACAGGATTGAGATTAGAAGTTCTGCTTCCCTCCATCCTCTCCCCCCCCCCCCCCCCCGCAGTAATATCAGTCTTGCTAGACAGGTACCCCACCACGTGAGCCACACCCCCAGCCCTCTGCCTACCTGACCAGTCAGCCACACCAGGTTATAGCCATACCTCAGGCAGACATGGTGGGTGCCGAGCAGCTGTGGGTGGCAGCCCAGGGAAGGACGGGATCGGGCTGGAGGTGCGAATAAAGCCACTCGCTCTCTGGCCTGCCCTCCTCATAGGTGACCTGTACCGACTCAACATCCCCAACCCGGGCCAAACTTCAGTGGTGGTGGAAGACCTCCTGCCCAACCACTCCTACGTGTTCCGAGTACGAGCTCAGAGCCAGGAGGGCTGGGGCCGGGAGCGCGAGGGTGTGATCACCATCGAATCCCAGGTGCATCCTCAGAGCCCTCTGTGCCCCCTGCCAGGTAAGCAGTCTTGCCCTACAGCGGCTGCCATCACGCCCGCACTCCCCACGCACTCACACTCAGCCTCTGCCCCTGCCCGCAGGTTCTGCCTTCACCCTGAGCACCCCCAGCGCCCCGGGCCCGCTGGTGTTCACAGCCCTCAGCCCCGACTCGCTGCAGCTGAGCTGGGAGCGGCCACGGAGGCCCAATGGAGATATCCTGGGCTACCTGGTGACCTGTGAGATGGCCCAGGGAGGAGGTACTTCCTGTCCTAGGACAGCAGGAGGGGGGATGATAGAAGGATGGAAATGGGGGCCCCAGGGGGCTGAAGGCATCTCTCCTGGGCAGGACCCGCCACCACCTTCCGGGTGGATGGAGACAATCTGGAGAGCCGGCTGACGGTGCCCGGCCTCAGCGAGAACGTGCCCTACAAGTTCAAGGTGCAGGCCCGGACAACAGAGGGCTTCGGGCCGGAGAGGGAGGGCATCATCACTATTGAGTCCCAGGATGGAGGTAGGGCGGCCTGCGGGCCTCTTCATCCCAGCCCACTCTGGCCACGCCTTTTCCGCACGCCATCCTGAGCGGCTGGTCTGTCTGCTGCAGGCCCCTTCCCACAGCTGGGCAGCCACCCCGGGCTCTTGCAGCACCCGCTGCAGGGCGAGTTCAGCAGCATCACCACCACGCACACCAGCACCACCGAGCCCTTCCTCATGGGTAAGTCACCCGGGACGAGGGGCGCCTGGCTCCTGGGAGCACAGAGCCAAGCAGAATCTCTCCCGTCTCTCCCCCGGCAGATGGACTGACACTGGGGTCACAGCGGCTGGAGGCGGGGGGTTCCCTCACCCGGCATGTGACCCAGGAGTTTGTAAGCCGGACACTGACCACCAGTGGGACCCTCAACACCCAGGTGGACCAACAGTTCTTCCAAACCTGATCCACCCAATGTCCTCAGTGCCTTGGACCCTGGGGCCCCCTCCCTGCCTTTTCTCCCCACCCCACCCCCCGCAGCTACTTTACTCTTGGACCCCCAGTGGTCCATCCAGCTGTATGCTAATCACAGAGGCAGAGGTGAGTCCTTTGAAAATCAATGAAGGGCCAGAGGACCTAGAAGGTTCTGGGCCCTTCTGGCTGCCCCCTGCCCTAGCAAAACCCCTTTGTAACCAAAGAGCTGGGACCAGCAGCACACCCAGGTTCCAGCCTTTGTGCTGCACTTAATAAACCACTTTGCTACCGTCTGGCTACTACACTGTCTTCACAGGCCTGAGGCACGCCCGCGGGGAGCAGAGCAGCGATTCTGACCATCTCCAGGTGGGGGCTGGACGGTCAGAGGCACAAGTTTATTGAGCACCCAGAAGCAGAAGGCAGGTGCTGGAGGCGGAGCGGCAGGGCCTGCCACCCAGGGGTGCTTCACAAGTGCAGCACCTTGGCTCCATCGGCAGCCTGAGAGAGGTAGAAGGTGGCTGTGCCGCTATACTGCTCCTGGGGGAGAGGTGCGGGCCTGAGTGATGGGCAGACCAGGGCGCCTGCCTCTCCTGCCCTCCCGGGCTCTGGCATTCACCCACCTGTATGTGCTGCATGGCACGGGAAGCAGCAGAGGCCTCCAGCAGTGTCACTGTGCAGCCCCCAAAGCCGCCACCTGTCATCCGACTGCCATACACACCAGGCACGGATAGGGCAGCCTCGACCAGCTGGTCCAGCTCCGGGCAGCTCACCTCGTAGTCATCCCTGAAGTGGACAGAGAAAGAGGAGGGTGGGCCTGGGACCCACCTGGGCCCAGGAGATGTGGGGGCACCCCAAGGCCTTACCTGAGCGAGTGGTGACTCTCCACCATGAGGCGGCCAAAGGCTCTGTAGTCCCCACGTCTCAGAGCGGCAGCTGCCTGGGCCGTGCGCCGGATCTCACCCACCACGTGCCGTGCCCGCCGCAAGCCCTCCTTGCTCACCAGCTCTCTGCCCGCTGGGGAGGAACAGGGCTTAGCCACTGGATCTCACGCTGCCCCTAGGTAGTGAGCCACTCAGAGCAGGGGCTGGGAAAATGGCTCAATGGTAGAGTGCTTGCCTTGCATGCATGAGGCCCTAGGTTTGATTCCTCAGCACCACATACACAGAAAAAGCTGGAAGTGGGGCAGTGGCTCAGGTGGTAGAGTGCTAGCCTTGAACTGAAGAGCTGAGGGACAGTGCCCAGGCCCAGAGTTTAAGCCCCATGACCAAAAAGAAAAAGTGGCAGAGTACCAGATTTCAGGCTGAGTACCAGTGGCTCACACCTTAATCTTAGCTACTGTGGAGGTTGAGATCTGAGGATGTTGGTTTGAAGCCATACCAAACAGATCTGAGGAACTCATCTCCAATTAACCAGCAAAATGTCAGAAGTGGAGGTGTCGGTGGCTCAAGTGGTAAAATGCCAGCCTTAAACAAAACAGCTAGCCAAGAACATGAGGCCGAGTTCAAGCCCCAGTACTGGCACCAAAAAAAAAATTCAAGAAAGGGAGGGATGAGCTGGGCGCCGGTGGCTCACGCCTGTCATCCTAGCTACTCAGGAGGCTGAGATCTGAGATCTGAGGACTGCTGTTCAAAGCCAGCCCAGGCAGGGAAGTCCAGCTGGTGGTCCAATGAACCACCAGAAAACCAGAAGTGGCAGGGATGTAATTGAATGCTACAGTACTGGCATAACTTCAAGCCCTGCTGATGAAGCAGTATTGTGGAGGAGGTGGGAAGAACATTACAAAAGTCCCAAGTGATCAAGAGTTGGACAGCAGGGTCAAAGCTACAAGGAGGCCCCGGTGGGAAGCCCAGCCTTCTGCAAACAAAACATGTCTGGCCAGCTCTCACCCTCAAGCTCTTCCAGCCGCACCTCTCGAAGGCTCTCCTTGCCCAGGGCCCGGGCCACTTCTTCACACTGGCGTCGCCGCAGGGGGTACTCGCTGGAGCCCAGGGAGTGGCGAACGTTGGAGTTCGTGATGAGCACAGCCAGCTTGGGGTCAGACAGCGGCACCAGGCTCGTCTCCAGGGACCTGTGATGGAAGAGTTGGGACTGGGGGAGATGACACCGTCAAGGGTCCCCTTGCCAGGCCACACAGTGGACACAGGCCGCCACCTAGGGGTGGGGGAGGGGAAGCCCCTGACCTGCAGTCAATGAGCAGCGCATGGCCTTTCTGCCCCAGCAGCGCGATGAGCTGGTCCATGATGCCACAGGGCACCCCTGCGAAGCTGTGCTCGGCCCGCTGACACACCTGGGCCCGGGTAACTATTGCCCCCGTGTCTGTGGCACAGGGTGAGGTAGGCAAGCTGGGGGCCCAGGAAGGGGGCACGAGGGGTGGCCATAGTGGAGCAGCATTAGCTCCAATGACAATCTAAGCAGATGCCCCCCACCCCTATCCCCGCCCTAAGGAGAGGAAGAAGCTCTGATCCCCAAGCTTCAGGGAAGCTGAGTGGGTGAGGGGCTGGGGCCTCGGTGGTACCTGGGCAGAGCTGTTGGAGGAAGGTGTATGTGGCCACTTCCAGAGACGCAGAGCTGGAAAGCCCGCCCCCCAGGGGCACTGAGCTGACCACCACTGCGCTGAAGCCAGGGATGGGGGCAGCTGCGGGGGAAAGAACGGCGATGGTGAGAGGGCGCTGGATGGACACAGGAAACGTCTGTACCTGGAAGCTGCTCCCGCGGCATGTGTGTGTCAACTCAGGGGTCACCAACCTACTCGGCCCTCTTGAAGTTGCCAGGCAATCTTCTTAGTTGTCTTCCTGAATTAGGGCTCTAGAAGCTAGTAAGCTGAGGCCTGAGGAAAGCTCCAGAATCTCCTGAGATATCAGGTTCCTCACACCCTGCAAACCTTCTACACTGTGTATCCAATGGCTGAATGGGCTTGTGTGTATGTCTGTGGTGTGTGTGTGTGTGTGTGTGTGTGTGCCACCAGTCCTAGGGCTTGAACTCAGGGCCTGAGTGCTGTCCCTGAGCTTCCTTTCCTCAAGGCTAGTGTTCTACCACTTGAGCCACAGATCCACTTCTGACTTTTCTGGTAGTTTATTGGAGATAAGAGTCTCACGAACTTTTCCGACTTGGGCTGGCCTTGAACCATGATCCTCAGATCTTAGCCTCCTGAGTAGCTGGGAGTAGAGGCGTTTGTCCCTAGCACCGGGCTTTGAATGGGCTTTGTGGCTGAGAGGTGGCACTCCAAGGTGCTACAGGAACTTGACCCAGGCTTGGGTCCCATACCTGGGTAATGCTGAATCACTCCTTTGACATAGTTGGCCCATCGCGGGGTTCCAGGCTCTAGAGATCGCTGGGCTGTGGGCAGTGGGAATTGCAGTCGCTGGGGTTCATCAGCGTTTTTAGAGGTGGTGAGAAGAGAGACAAGCCCATCTGTTCGGGGGCTGCCCACGATCAGGGTCACAAGCTCCAGTGCCTGGCAGGAGGGACAAGGAGCATGTATAGTTTACACAAGGCCACCTCACAGCTACAGGACCCATTTAGCCACTGGATTCACCATGAGGAAGGTTTCCGAGGCAGGGCATCCAGGGTACAAATGAGGGACCTGATACCCTGGACTCTGTCCTGACTGCCCCTTACCTGATTACATGATGGGAGGAGCCAGGATTCAAATCCCAGGTCTCTGTTGCCTTAGGCAGGCAGGAGGAGTAGGGAATTTGCACAACTAGAAGGGAGTGAGTGAGCTTCGGAAAGGGCCTGAGTGCCGAGCAGGCCTTGGGGGCTTGGAGCACTGGCCTCTGGGTCTTCAGGGGTGGAGCTAGTGGTGGACAGAGCACAATCTGGACTTTGCCCAGATCATGGGCTCCCCACTGTGAGGCAAGGGGCAGATAAAGAGCTAGCTCCAAGGGTGAACAGGGTGAAATGAGCTCTATGCCTCCCCACTTTGCAATGCTCTCTTCCCTCCCCACCCCCCTCCACCCCGAGGCTGTGGTCATCATTTACTTCCTGAGTGGTGCAGTGGGGTTGAAAGAGTCAAAGGTTGAGAGTTGGAAGGAATCTGCCAGGTTCACACACAAAGAACCAGCTGTGTGATCTTGTGCAGCTCCCTAGCCCTCTCTGGGTCTGTTTCCTCCTCCGTGAGTGGAAGCGGCTGACCCAGCAAGATGAGGGCTACATTCACCCAGGCCTGCAGTTTGGGGCCCACTGACGGCGGCGGCCCGCCCAGCCCCCTTCTACGTGCTACAGGAACCTCCACATTTTACGGGAGGCGAACACACACGCCTCCAGGTTCAAGGCGAGGGTCAGCGGCCCCCCGAGGGCGGGCCTGGGGGGAGAGGCATCCGCCCGCCCTCTGGGGCCTCGGCTGCCCGCCTTCCTAGCACGTGGAAAAAACGGCCCTTCCGGGGTCTCTCCGGGGTGCTCGACCCCCAGCCTCGGCCGCCCCGCCCCGCACCCCGCCCACCCGAGGCCCGCGCTCCCCCGCGGCCCGAGCGGCAGAAGCGGGCCCCCACGCAGCCCCTCACCATGGGCAGCACCAGGCCCTGGTTGTAGTCCGTGTGCTCCCCGATGAGGTTGACGCGGCCCGGCGCCGACACGGCCAGCTCGGGCTCGGCCCCGAACTCATCCCGGAAGGCCCGACAGGCCTCGGCCAGCAGCTCCTCGAGCTGGGGCGGTCTCGAAGCAGCCATGACGCTGGTCTGCAGCTCGGCGCACCTCGGCGCGGGATGCTGGGGGCGGGGCCACGCGAGGCTGGGGGCGGGGCCACGCGAGGCGGGCTCTGAGTCCGGAGAGGGCCACGCCCCTGTTGCCAGGCCACGCCCCCGGCCGGCCGGCCACGCCCCCCCGCTGCCAAGGCAGGAATCCACTCACTGAATGCTGGCGACCCTGGAACAAATCTGTACCCAATTGATGTCTCTATTTCTACATTTGGGGAAAAAGCAGTGGGTGCCCACTTGAGAGTACAGCCTTGAGGGGCGCGTAGCACAATAGAGAGATCCGAGCTGCCCTTTTCAGGAGCCCGTCCATGCATACTAGCAGCAGCAGCCGCAGCAGCACACTTAACGACATCAGGCACCCAAGAGACCAGAACTTCCTAAAAAGACCACTTAGGTCACCAAGAAGTCAACATCCGGGCTGGGAAGGGGGCTCAGTAGTAGAGTGTTTGTCCAGCATGCATGAAGCCCTGGGTTCGATTCATCAGTACCACATACACATTGAAAAAGCCAGAAGTGGTGCTGTGGCTCAAGTGGTAGAGTGCCAGGCTTGAGTAAAAGCAGCTCAGGGACAGTGCCCAGGCCCAGAGTTCAAGGCCCAGGACAGGAAAAAAAAAAAAGTCACCATCTGTTTATCGTGGTCATTAGGAAGGTGACCCGATGTACAGTGTAAAGACAGCCAAGTTTGGTGGTAACCAGAGTCACTGTGTGACTGTGTTTGTGTGTGTGTGTGTGTATGTGTTTGTGTGTGTTACTAGAGATTATCTCAAGTCTCAAGTTCTCTCTTGACTGTTTTTTCATTCATGGCTGGTGCGCTACCACTGAGCCATACTTCTGCTTCTGGGTTTTGATGGTTAATTAAAGATAAGAATCCCTTGACTGGACTGGGAAGTTGGCTCAGTGGTAGAGCGCTTGCCTTGCATGCTCAAGGCCCTGGGTTCGATTCCTCAGCACCACATAAGCAAAAAGAAAAAAGCCGGAAGTGGCGCTGTGGCTCAAGT